TCTCTATTTAACTTACAGAAGAAATGTACAAGAATTGTGAATTGATCAACCTATGAACAAACCAACACTTTTTATTAATTCATTAATGTACAGCCTCCTGTGTTTTATGATTGAGTTGATCTGAAAACTGCACAGCTAATGTAAAAAGCACAAAATAACTAGAAGCACTCATGTACTAAGGGGAATTAATAGGCTATAGCCTAGTCCTATAATAAAAAACCGGAACATTTTAGGCTAAAGCAGAATTGAGTAGCCATTAAATCAATAAACGTGTGGAAACGCTTTGTTAAAGAGTTTGATATACGTAGACAAAGGGGAAGGCTACTTTAAAAAAAAAGTTTTAAGATCTATCAACACATGCACACACAAAATCAGTGCCCCCTTGAGGATTTACAAAAAAATGCAGTGCAGCACAATTGCACCATTACCCCATACCCATACACAAGAGAAGTGGCTGTGACTCTTAACTATTATCAGCCTGTCTGTGACTATTCACCGTTTGACTGGCAACATAGGTGGCACAGGTTAAACAAAAAGCTTAATATTTGACCACTGACCACACATTGTTCTGTTACCCGGCACTTGCACTCAACATGTAAACAACACCTGTGCGTATTTAACACTGAGCTGACATTTTGGTAAGACTCATTTTCGTAACCTATAAATGAACATTATTGTCTTCATCCTTCTTTCAGTGCAGTCAGCTAAACTAAAGTAGCCTAGTTTAGGTTACTTCGCCCACTAACAACCATTGTGCTGCAGGAATTAGCCTATACCAGGAATTATACCAGACCTCACCTGACTCACCTGTTAATGTGGTCAGAAATGCCTTGTGCTTGTACAGAATTTTAATGTTGCATCTTTCTTCCTAGATGCTAATGGCACATCATAACTTTTTAACATGAACTGCTTATCTGCGTGTGTTTTTAAAGTAACACTTCCACCTCTGATCTCCACCCAGCCCTGCTTTTAGTGCTTCGTCATTGCTGCGACGCCGCCTCTCTTCTGAAACCTGATCGATAGTCTCCAACTTGTCCTGTAGGGAAACACCGGAATTATGGCACCTAGCTCAAGGTGGAGGAAACACATCTGTTTGCACAGGTAAGACTCGCCCTCTCAAACACTGTTGTCGTGTTTTTATTGCACACCTTTATTACAGTGAGCGTTTACATTTCCAGTTTCGTCACGGCGGCAGTTCGTTCAGAGTTCAGTGCAGCGTATTAGAGGGATTAAAAAAGAAGAGGTCAGGGATGTTTATGTTGTCAGCCTTCAAAGAAGAAACACGGCTCAAATATGAAGCCTTAGCCTAACGTAGCTATTTAGCAGAATTCAATACAAAAATTATAGTGAATGTCTTTATAGTTGTTGTTGTTTCCCTCACTGGGAAGATACTCTACTGTGACTTAAATACTTTACAATACACGATACCTGGCCTACTTATCAGAAAGAATTTAACAAATTGAAAGATTATCTTATCCTACAGTATGAGCCAATAATGATGCTGATGACAGAAAAAAAAAGGAAACGAGAGGAAACCCTGTTGACTTGTATAACCTGGTTACTAAGTTATGTTTATGAAAAAGATGCTCGGATATTTACACAAAGCTTTTTATATTGTGACACTTAAGTTATGTTATTGCTAAGGCTACCTTTAACAGTCATTGGGTGATTTCTTTTGGATAGTTTGGGTAATTAGTCTGAAAATAAGGGTTCCCCTTTAGGACTATACAACTCCTTTATGTGGCACCTTTTATTTTTATTTTCATTAACTGCGATTGTATCATCCTATGTCCTATCATAACCTAAGTTTTTTTAATGACACACTCTTTTTTCCCCCCTCTCTCTGACCTGGTCATGAACACTGTTTGGGATTGTCCATGCGATCTACACTGATCTTCAACATGGATTTAATGTGAGTATTACATTGTTTTAGAGTGAAACTGTTGTTTTAGAAAGGAGCAGATTGAACCAGATCTATTTTGATGTTATTGTACTGTTGTTAGCATACAATAAATAACATAGTAAATACAACAAATTGTATAAAAATGCACATGTCAAGATGAGACCTCCTTAATATGATTTAAAACAAGGTATGACTTTAATTATAGAACCCTGCTCTCAGCTGCAGAGCAGCTCATCAGTCTTAACAGAGACTATAAAATATTAAATTGTTCTGGCTTCTGCTTGACGAGGCTTTCCATCAGGGATCTCTGTTCACACTCCTTGTGTGTCTCTTTCATGCAATGTATTGGCTGCCTCTCTATCACAGCTTATTCTTATTTGTGTAGAATACGGACACTTTTACATCAAACTATCTCTTTATATTCCAGGCAAACATGTTGTTACACTTAACTGAGTGATTCCATTATTGTTTGATTAAGTCCAAGAAATGTATAATACTTTTCAACATTCATGGGAGTGGTTGTGCAGCCATGTAGCCCTCAGTGAGCTCGTCACAAACACTTTATCTCTCATGAACACATGCTCCCAGCATGCATTACAACTCTGTGATAACTAACATTGGTACTAGTGGGGATTCCCCCTTACAGCAATATATTAATGTAGCCCTTACTTGATATTTTGCAAATTAGTTTTTTATCTTAATTTTTTAGGAAAGTACCAGTGTGCAGGAGAGGTGGTGCATTATTTTTTGATGAGAAACCTCATGTTTTTTGAGGGGTTAACATGAGGGGCTCATTTTACTGCAGACCTGCAACACTTATTGTTTAGTCCAATAAGCAGCATGCATTTAAAAAGCTCATACATTCACCTCCTCTCCACCAGGTGGCAGTGTACACTAGGAAGACGTAATCTGTTACAGTAACAGCAGATGATCAAACTCAATGTAGCATGTACTTGCATGGCCTAGAATGTCCACCACAATCTGTTCAAAGTACTGTGAGCTCCAGGGCTTACAGGGTGATTTTAAGAGATCTCACATTAGTGCATGCTTATTATTATAAACATTGCATTTGCAATATGACTAATTGCGTTGCAAAATATCTTGATGTAATATTTTTAGTAGCTACAAAGAATCCATGACTACATTTTGTGGGGAATTTGTCCTGTCCTATTCTCTGTATTCTGTATTATATTATATTCAAAATCCCTCACTTCAAAGAAACAACATTCTTGAACTCACTGAAGGGGAGGGTTAGAATTCAAATGTCTCCTTAAAACAACAATGATGGACAACATGTCTGCTTGCAGAAAGTGGTAGGAGCATGGAACAATCCTGGTTCATAAATTCTTCATAACATAATAGTGCAGTATGAATATTGATGCACTGTTACCATCTATCATGTCAGTGCTCTTGGAAGCTCAAATCCGGAGCACAAATAAAACCCCTGCAGCCCTGCTTTTATCACATGCACTGCATCACTGCACGCAAAATTCATATTTAAAGCCTTTTTTCCAAGTTGTTTTACATAAGATCCTGGCAGAAATGCGGCATGTTGTGTGATGTGTACCCAGATGCAGTGCTGAAAGTCACAGTGAGATGAATTGGGTGGAAGTGGTATGGGACATTATGTAATCCCTGAGTGATGGAGCCAGAGAGGGATAAAGATGTTCCAAACAAACATAACCCCCCATGCACTCAGCTGGAGTACTGCACTGCAGCATCATGTGTGCGTGTTTGCCCGCGCTTTTGAACAAATGAAGAGGGGGGAAAAAAACAGAAAGTGTGTGTCAGTGTTTTGGGTGTGTCTGCTGGCTCATTTCTGAGTCTGTGGTTCCAGTCTGTCACTGTCTCAGGGGACTGTGGGTCTGCCAGTGCTGCTGCTGCTGCTGCTCTTTTGCTCCCCTCTTTTCTGTTTCTCCTCCCTCTCCTGGGTCCAGCTCAACACCTGCTCCTTGGGCAGGGCAGGGTTCCTAAGCAACTGAAGGCAACACAAGCGGTTCACGAAGTCATTGTTTGTTTGTCTGTCTTCCTGAATTTTCCTTTTTTTTTTTTTTTTTAATCAATCTGATATTTCACCCCAAACTAAATCCCAAACAGAAATTATCTACGTATCAGAAATAGCTCCATCTTTGGTTGCACCTGTCCAGGTTCTTTCCTGTGAGAGCACTGTGTGACTGTAAATGTTTAACGCCAACTGTTTTTGTAGTGTAGCGCTGCTTGTGTGTCATCACTGATCAAAGTCTAAAAAAAAAAAAACTTTTTTTATTCACTGTTCTCGCGCCTTCTAGCATGTTCTCCTACCATTGCGCGTTGTTCCCCGAGCTTTTTGACTACTCATTTGGAATTTCTAACACACTTAGGAAATCCCAATTGAACTGGTAAGACTTTTTATTCAAATAATTGTATATAAATTGGTCCGAAATATTAAACATGTCAGAGACAAAGGTGGTGGTTCCTCTAATACCGTGTGGGTGAGAGAATAATGAACCCCTTTACCTCCCCCCCCCTGCCTATGAGCTGTATGGCCCTAATGGGGTCAGACAGATGGGTGGGGAGCATGCAGGACTCCATAAACAGCTTGTGTGTATGTGTTGTGCACATTATAAGGCACACATGTGTTGACTTGGAGTTGTGTTTTTTTTCCCTTTAAGATAAGATGCTGGATGCTTGAAACATTGCCTCTTTTAATATCTCCCGAACTGGCTCCAGTTTGTAGTACTGACTGCTCTCATACTGTGCACTTGAATGCACCACGTTGTGGCCTGAAAAGACTGGGCAACACTGTGGGGAGTAATGATGTCGCCCCTGAGCCTCCCTCCTGTTTCTGGACATTGTACTGTGTTAATGATTGCTCCATGCCTGTTGGGTAGGCCTTTATCTGTGACGAGGCTACTGTTCCAACATTGTAATTAAACTGTGATTTGAAACTGAAAAAGTAAACACGACCGTTTCCAAGGACAAACATACACCAACACTGGCAGAAAATATATTCGAGCAGTTTTATTGTGAGGATAGTTGTGCTCGTCTCCTTCACCTCAACATGCGGTTGTGAGGCGTGCTCGCGCTGCTCAGTTGGTCAACTCAAGTCCGATCCTCGTTGTGAGACTCCACCCATTTACGAGCATCGGACACCTTCAGCAGCACAACAAAGCATGTGCCGCTCCGCAACATTGTTTCTCCTCTGAACGTGCGGAATATTGCATTTTATCGGATTTTATGCTGTTTTCGTCTCCATTGATGCGAATCCTAGAGTAGGTAAGCTATATGTAAGATGTATAACCCTCGCGCGCGCGCACTGTGATGATTTAGTGTTTATTTGTTTTGTTACTTCATTCGGCGCCATTTTTATACACAGATTGTTTAAATACCCTGGCACGCAGGACCCATCCTGTAGCTTGACTGTTTTAAGGTTCGTTCCAAAAAAAAAAAAAAAAGTTGAAAATTTGACTAATTTTAAGCGAGACAACGATGCGATATTTCATATATAATTTCCTGACTCAATTAAAATAGTATAGCTTTTATATTTCCCGACTTGGTCTAAATAAGTCGGCACTCATCACCGTAAATCAAAAGTGGTCCGTGTGTACGGAGGCAGCAATTGTGCTTCCAACATGTGCGAGTTGTTTTTGTGAAAATGAATGGGCATGCAGGTCGTCTCTGCTAAAAGAGGGCGCACAATTTGGTTACATTTTAGAACAAATCATTTCCTAATGCAGCCTATTTGTTTCGTTTTGAGACACGCGTTGTAGGCTATGTTGTGGTAATGCAGCCTTATTGTTGGTAGCATTTTAAGAGTTATGGGGGAAAATATTTTATATGGGGTCCTCTTAACACAAAGTAGCCCACACTGCAGAGGGTGTAAAGTTTTCAATACGATAAAAAAATAAACCCTGAATGAAGATTTAAAGTGACCGAATGTGCCATTTTTATCACGTTTTCTCTCCTAAGTCTTATAAATGTGAAACAGTTATTGTTCCTGATGATGCACTTTCCTATGTCAGGATGTTCTTTGTGTCAATGCTTCTCTCTGAGGTGCGTTTCTTCTCAAATGTACAGTTGTTGTTTTTTTTTTTCTGCAGTGGCATTGCTTTGGATTTCATTTTCTGCTCGACAAGTCTTGCTTTTACCCCCAGATACTATGGGTTAAAAATATCCTTCTTCTCTGGAGGGCAGCATATGAGAAAGTGTGTCTGTGTTCACAGTCCTGCACTTAGGAGAAACTCATCCAATAAGCCTCATCTCCATTGATGATAGCTCTGGATATATATAGTTAGATAATCTTTTATGGAGCTGCAGATGTGACGTAGGGAGGACAAGGCAGAGACAGAGGCAGCATTAATGCAGTGGGACTGCCAAGTGCTTACATGAGCAGTAGAAGTAAACACAGAGGTTACAATATGGTGAGGCCTGGGTGCTCGGGGTCTTCTGTAGTGCTGCCGAGTCAGCAGTGTTGTGTACACACAAACGGCTGAAGTGATGCTGAAGGATGTTTTTGGCTCTGCTGTGTGAGAGTGAGGTCAACAAGGTCCCAGAAGAGCTTGCTGGTGTTAATCCTCTTTTGGGAGTTATGATGCATTGGTGCTGCTAGACTACTACTCTGTTGTGTGAGCACGACTAAAGAGGGAACTGACTCCACACACTGTACACAGTGGTTTGTACGTGTTCTTATGAATGAGGGAGTCTGTGGATTCGACTAACTTACAAACCATGTTTACGAAACTAATTCTCTTAAAATTAAGCAGAATTATTTCATTTAGATGATGAAAATTTATCTCACACATTTACATTTCTTGACACACATCTGGATTTTGCACATTTCCAAAATAAAGAGAACACTGCTGTCATAATGTGCACTTAAGTTCTAGATATACCATTAGTCCAGTGGCTGAGGTGATGTTGGGAATGGATTCAGAATAGCTTTTAGGGAAACCGCAGTAAATCAATAAAGCTACCTCATTCTTTTCCCATGTCGGTTCATGTTACAGCATCAGGTTCACACACCATCTGTGTGTATTGATTAGTCAAAGACCTGGTCTGGGATAGGTTTACCCAGAGGACAAAGCTGAAATAAACCTTTGTAGCCTGAAATCATTTTGTCAGACTTCATGAAGTGCACTCAAAAGATATGCCGCTGTATAGACGCCATGATTACAGCACTTAATTCAAATGTTACTGTGTTTGTATTACTTTACATGTCATGATGATTTAATGAGGTGATTATGTTGTCTCCTAGAGTTGTTGGCCTTTTTGTTCATTAATAGCTGAAAACACAGTTTATTGTCAACTAGTTTGATAATAGATTATGTGGACCAAATGAGGAGTAGTTGCACTTTTGTGCGTGGGGGGAAAAAGCCTAGATTAAAAAAAGGGTACATTTTATACCCTGATATTTAAGGAAAAATGTTGAGGATTGTCTGCTCTTCTCGGTCATAAATGACAGTAAATAGAACATGAGCAGTTGTTTGTTTTGGATTGTTTGACAGAAGTAGCAATTTGACAATGTGGCTTTGGATTCTAGGAAATATAACTAAGCAATAAGCATTTTCACATTTGTGAAGTGAAACTTGAAAACAAATCAGTTGCTTAATCTATAATGCAAATGGGGCCTCACATAATGCACTAAAAAGGTAACGCAGTGCCTTCCAATTTTGTATGTATAAAAATGATGTTACTGGCCAGGCTTGTGTGCACTAAAAGAACATGCATACTTGTCTGCAAGGCACGTGTTAGCGTGTATGTTTGCATGTGTGTCTCTTAGTGAGGTTAATAGCAGCCGCCATGTGGCCAGAGGACTGATATCTTGGCCTTCAGTTCATTTCTGTTGATATTCAGCCAGGTAGGCGGGGCTCCCCATAAACCATGAATCAGCACAGCTGATCGCCACTGTGCTTCTGCCAGCTTTTCTCTCCCTCCCACATACAAGGCACGCACACCCAACTGAAAGACAGACAGAGAGAGAGAGAGAGAGAATCAGAGCGGAGGGAGACAGTGAGATGGATACAGTAGGCAGGTAGATAGATGGAGATAATCTCACTTGGTCACTTGGGGGCTGATTAACTCTAAACTCCTTCTAATTCCTTAAGCCTACTCTCAGTACCCAGGAAACATGCTTTCTTTTCGTTCTACTATTCCTACATGACAATGTTATTTTTGATCTCATGTAAACGTGTCACCAACTGTGGTGAAGAGGATGTAACCAAATGCAGTCTCATCTGTCTGCTTTCATTTTTAGTAATGTGTGCATCTGCTGCTGTGCACACAGGTATGCACATGTGCATATGCGTGTTGTGTGCAGCACACAGCGAACAGAAATAGATCTGAGCTCGTCTGTAAAGTCTAACTAATGAGTCCCTGCATCCTGAGCACACTATTTATATACTTTTCCTCCATGTCCTCCTCTGCAAGCTCCTTCCTCATTCAGCCATCCCGTCTTATTTCATTACACATATAAACAATTGCTGACACGCACCTCATCATCACAGGACATGATACAGAGGCCGTGGTGTCTAGCCAAACTGGGGAGCCAGCGTAACACAAAGTTTAAGGGTTAGCACCAGTTAGGTCAAGAGGCTATCATCATTATGAAGCTGTTGAATAATTTGAAGGGAAAAATTAATGCGTTTGTTGCTAAATTCTGTGATACTTAAATTAAAGCATGCAAACAGATATGAAAGAAGCAAGTTATCCAAATCTTACTATTTTAGAGTGGAATTCATTGGATCAGATTTCAAAATAGCATACTGCTGCAACATTAAATTCAATTTGAAGTCACATCAACTCTAAATCAGATCCTTATTTAACTCAAACCCTTGTGTTTGCACCTGATCCAGCTGCTCTTTGCTAGAGGGCGGCCCACTTCATTTATAATTTAGCTCATTAGAGACTCTAATTATGTAGGATTGAGGGCAGGTTTCCTTTTTTTCTACAGCACGGCAATATTTCATCTAATTATCTCCACACCCAAAAAGAAATACACCTCGTTTCATGAGAGACGGATGCTTTATCAAGAGATCCCGTTGTGCTACTGCCACTATCTCAATCAGTCACGATGCAGGTTGGTCCTGCTCAGCTGGCCGATAGCAGAGATGTTAGAGAGGCGACACAAAATGGAGGAGGCAGCAGACACAAGCTCAGCTGGTCCATTAGGAGCATGTCTGTTTCCTGACAATCACAATTGAGATGACAGAGCATTAAAAGACCCAGAGGAGCCCATGAGCAATGATGCATACCAGTGTGTGTGTGTGTGTGTCTGTGTGTGTTTGTGTGGTGACCTAGGGAATACGCCTATGGGGGGTCTCGTGGGGGGAAGGGTAGGCAGGATTAGTTATAGTACGCGGCACAGTTATTGGTCACTGGACACAAACAATGGGAGGGCTAAAGAGGATTTTGTCTGTCAGTTCCCCCCTCCTCCTCCTCTCCTGCTGTCCTGCACTGCCAGTAGGAAGTGTATGGTATAGAGGGCTGGGCTGCACCCTTTGGGGAGGCATGGTACATCTGGAAGATTGGCCTGCCTGTCTGCCTGTCTAGCATCACCCCTCCCCCACCCTGTACAATGCAGGCGACTTAAACTACATATGGAAGAGACAAACACCGCCACATTAGTCCCCAATTAGACAGACCGCCTGCTCCAGATTGAACGCAAATGAGTCAAAACGCAATCAGTTATTGTCGTCGATGAGAGCCAGTGTAACCGATGAGGCTGACTCAGGATGTTTGATTGCATAATATGTGAGGTGTATTTTAGTCAGTTGTGCGATTTTAATCAGCTGGTTAGAAGTTTCTAAATATACCAGCTCTGTCCTCTTGTTGCCGCTGCCTCACCAGGGAATCAAAGAGATGTTCATTAAACTCTAAGGCCTTATTCCCTGACTGTGAAGCACATCACTGATGTCATGCTCTGACAGTATGTAACAACAGATTCTCTGACATAGTTATTGCTATAACCTTTTTGACAATGTATTTATTTATAGTTTAAATAAACTAGATGCATCACATTACACACACCTTACTTTCAGTATAATGTTTGTGTAGCAGCAACTGCATACCAATTGGCTTAAATTTTAGAATTAGTTTTCTTTAAGCTTGTTTTTTATACCAAAGAAAAAATGTGATTGTGTGCCACAGATATACTAATACTGATAAGTATGTAATAAGCTAATATCAGCCTATTGAGTAGCCTACCCAAATCATTTTTCTGAGTCTACAATGTATTTAAGATGTGATTTATTAATATTGATAAACAACTTAATTTTTTTATTAAATAGCCAGTTTTAGCTAATCAAGCAATTCAAATACTCATCAAATTACGTTTCATCATCTTTTTATCCACAAAATTCCCACATTGCCATAAATCTGTCAGCCTCCAGGTTTGTAGCACTGCCCAATCCACTAAGAAATATGAACAATTACTTCATTATGTATCACCTCGGGGTGTATCAATACATTGCCTAGCTGTCGTACCTAAGCTGACCTGTACATGGTGGGTGCAGTGGGTGAGATGAAGAAGACAGTTAATGCTTGTTGAGGATGATCCTGGGCAGGCGGTGCTAATATGAAGCTTCAGTACAGAAAGCCTCCTTTGTCTCGGTGGGATTTAATGAGTCTGCGATAGTCCGAGTTGTGAGCTCGCCCTCAGAACTCCACGCAGACACAAACACTCTCTTCAACAAGGAGGGCTATTGTGTGATGAGGTGATGTTTGTGTGTGTCTATGTGTGTGTTTGGATTCAGTATGTGTGTTTATAATCTGTGGGTGGCAGTTGGCTTCATGTTTTATGGAATAAATCTCATTCATTCCATTTAGAGTTGGCAGCTAACAATATATTTAAGCAGCCGTTTAAATCACTTATGTCAAATAAAACTAAGTGAGATGAATGAAACATGGATTCAGAATACCTTATTTGCATGATAAAAGCTAACATTTTCTATGATATAATGACCATGTAATGAAAAAAGATGTTATTACTACTTTGTTTATACAATCGATCATTAATACAGATAAATATTTCAGCTTTTTTTTTTGTTTTTAGAGCCACAACTGATGATATTAAATATTATATATAACTATTACTATAATTGATTGATGTGACTTCTTTTTTTTTAGAGAATCACAATATTTCCACATCCCACAGTCCTTCAATGACTAATTTTGCATGATCCAAAAAAACAAACAAACAGATAAAAGCCTCCTGTGGGCAGGTTTTGCAAATAAGCATTTTGTGATAAACACTAAGAGCAGTGTATCTGAAACTTGTGCATGGTTTTACAGCAATAATGTTATTGTATGTCTGTGTTAAATGAATAAATTATACTTTCATGTGAAGCAGAAAAAAGCAAATTTACATATCGGAAACTAGTATTTTTCCTTTATGATTAATTGAATGAAACAAAATAATGCACAAACATTTTCTTCAAATAGTTCTGTCACTACTCTAATTTGCCATAATGCTGAACATGATCAATTGATCGATGAACTAAACTATTGCATCATTAAAGTACAGTCCTTACTGGACATATGTTTGTCATTCACAGCAAAGTTAAGTAAAATGTTTCCTTCATACTCTCCACAGCTCCTAATCGTATTTGTTGTGTTCCAAGTATAGCCACTCTGTGTACCGTCACTCTGTACAGCGCTGTGACCTTTCTCCATCTCTGACTCCCTTCTGTCCTCCTTCCCAGTGGCTACCATGACAACAGAGGCGAGTGCGGTGAGCGAGGCAGACACTGAGGGCAAGCAGAAGGCCAGTGGGGCAGAACCAGAGCCAGAACCTGAACCAGAGAACAAGCAGAAACCAGAGGCGGCAGTGTCTGACCCAGAGGGGGAGCCTTCAAGCAAGAAGGCCCAGGAGCAGACCTCCGAGCCTGGGACTGCAGAAGTAGCTACCTCCCCTGAGGAGGAGCAGCTGAAACCTCGTACCCGGACCTCGGCTGGCAAAGGTCTGTCACGCCTCTTCTCCTCTTTCCTCAAACGGCGCTCGCAGTGCTCTGAGGGAGAGGGGTTTGAGGCAGAGAAAGCCAGGGAGGACAAGGCAGACACAGAGGAAAAGGCCGACAAGGCAGGAGAGAAGAAGGAGGGAGAAGTGAAAGGTGAAGAGGAGGAGGTTAAGGTAGAAGAGAAGAAACCAGAAGAGAAACCAGAGGCAAAAGAAGTGAAAAAGAAAGATGAAGCAAATGTAGAGAAAAAAGAGGAGAAAAAGAAAGAGGAAGAAAAAGTTGAGAAGAAGGGCAGTAAAAAGAAAAAAAAAGAAGCCAAGAAGAAAGTAGAGAAAAAGGATGCAGACAAAGTAAAACAGGAAGAGGTGAAAAGGGAAGAGGAAAAGGTGAAAAAAGAAGACAAAAAGGATGATGAACAGGTGAAAAAAGATGAGGAAAAGGATGAGGAAAATGTAAAAAAGGAAGAGAAAAAAGAGGATGAAAAGGTGAATAAAGAAGAGAAAAAAGAGGATGAAAAAGCACAACAGAGTGTAGAAAAGGAGGAGGACAAGTCAGAGACAAAAGAAGAAAAGGAGCCCACCGATGTAAAAGACAAGGAGGCAGAAGCAGAAAAGAAAGAGAGTAAAGAGGGAGAAAACGCTGACAAAAAGGTTGCAAAGAGGAAAGAAAAGGAGGAAAAGGTAAAGAAGAAGGAAGAGGAAAAAGCAAAGAGGAAAGCAGAGGAAGAAGAAAGGCACAAGAAGAGAGAAGAAGAGAAAGCTAAGAAGAAAGAGGAGGAAAAGGCAAGAGAGGCCGAAAAAGCAAAGAAGAAAGAAGAAAAAGCAAAAGAGGCAGAAAAGGCAAAGAAGAAAGAGGAAGAAAAAGCCAAAAAGAAGGAGGAGGAGAAGGCAAAAGAGGAGAAAGCTAAAAAGAAAGAAGAGGAGAAGACAAAAGAGGAGCCCACAAAGAAGGACGAAGAAAAGGTGAAGGAAGAAGTGAAGAAAAAAGACGAGGAAAAAGAGGAGGAAAAGACAGAGAAAAAACAAAAGAAAGAAGAGGAAAAAGGGAAGAAAAAGGAGAAAGGGAAGAACAAGGGAAAAAAGGAGGGGAAAAGTCAAAGTGACGAGCAGGTGAAAGCACCGATTGCTGCTCCAGAGCCTGAACTTAAAACTGAGCCAGAAGCTGAACAAGCTCCAGATCAGCACTCAGTCAGCAGTGCAGAGACACAGGTGAGTGTGAAACTGAAAAAAAGTCAATTATGGTTTCAATTCTACATTTAGGTTTTTTTGTTCCGGAGAGGTAGATGAGGAGACTGATACCACACTCATATCTGGATATTGAAGACTTAAGTCAGCAGCCAATAAGCTTAGCTTAACACAAAGTGAGCTTGACTTTGTCCTAATGTATCAGAATCCTACCAGCGTCTTTAAATCCCTCTCATTAACACCTTACATGTTGATACATGTTGTCTGTTTATCCGGCAACAAATGATTCTACTGGTGCAGGGAGATGTCAAAGTACCGGCTGGTTGCCAAAGTGATAACGAGATTTCCGGAAATCTCCGCTCCAGGCCAAGAAATAGTCACGCACTTTCAGTATAACAGTTCTTTTAATCATTTAGTCATTTAATCAGGAGAGGTGGGAAGGTTCAGGAAAGGACACAATCTCAAACACTGCAGCAGATAAAGGGCAGCTGCAGGGCGGTCCAGTGTACAAATCCCTGCTGCAGATTTGACTTAAGTAGAGGAACACATGTTTTTTCCTTTGTAATGAATTTTTTATGATGTGGACAGCTTGCTCAGCAAGAGTAAACCTGCTGGTTTGAACGGAGAGCCTGAAACAAAATGATCTGGCTTTTTTGAACCAGCATCATCAACAGCAGTTTATCTGCTGTTTGAAAAGGTCTGTTTTAGTTTTGATTGAGGGTTTGCACTCATTTTGCCTTTCTTTAATTCTTTCTATCTGTACTTTCCGTATGTTGCAAATGTCTTGTGTTGTATCTCCAGCCAGCTCAAGAGAAACACAAAGACGAAGAGTCGATAAATAAGGAGCCAGACGCTGTGGAAGAAGTGAAGGAGGACGACACAGAGAAAAAAGAGGAAGAACCGACTGAGCAGAATAACGACGCCGAGGAAGAGGAGAAGGCAAAGGAGGTAACGAAGAAAGAAAAACCTGCGAAAGAAAAGAAGACGGAGAAGAAACCAGAAGAGGCTAAAGGCTCCAAACGTCTGAAAACCATGCAATGCAAAGTCACCTTACTGGACGACACTCTGTTTGAGTGTGAGCTGGATGTAAGAGACCTCAGAATTGACCTAATGTAATGTCTCTCACCCCTGTTCAATATTTATACGCTTGTTTCCCTCTGCCTGTGTCCCTCTATCTTGTGTAGAAACATGCTAAAGGCCAAGAGCTTATAACAAAGGTGTGTGACCATGTTAATCTGCTGGAGAAAGATTACTTCGGCCTCGCTCATGGGGAAACCACAACAAGCAAGGTGTGATTTTAATTTTCTTTAGGAATGCAAAAAAAAAAAAAATCATATATATTTGATGCAGGCCAGAACCTGGTTTGTAAATATTGTTTCCTTTATTTTCTGCAGACTTGGTTGGAAGCCACCAAAGAGATCAGGAAACAGGTTCCAGGTGCTGTTTATGAGTTTACGTTCAACGTGAAGTTTTACCCTCCAGACCCTGCTCAGCTCACTGAGGATCTCACCAGGTGAATGTTAGGACAGTAAAAAGGCAGGGATGTGATTCTACCAGATTGTCCGACCTGAAATGATAACTCACAAGTCTTAATTTATCAATGGCAGTGTTTCGCGAACATAGACTTTGTCACTGATAGTGTTAAATTTACAACTGCATAAATATATTTGGGGACCGTTTTGAATTTCCTTCATACTAACTATGGATAAAATATTGGACCACAGTATGTACACTAGCTCTCTATCGCTCCAGATTGTGTGGCAAGTAGCATCTGAGTGCTGTGCAGTGGATCGGTGAGAGAGACTTCCGCTGTCACAATTCACTCTAGATGCAGAAGTGTGACCTCTCACGCTAATTATGAACCTTCTTTTGCCATTATTTCATTTGTTTTGTGCAGATAATTGCTGTCCATGTTATTCTACACTCTCTCAGTTTGGCTTGGTCATAAATTGCCTTATGAGAAGCACACCTGTGGGGGGTACTGAATTGTAAAGAAAACCTTTTAAAGGCCAGGTTATGTTTTTTGGGGCGACTTCATAAAAACATTCTTTGCCCCGACCCTGCCATTAATAAAAAAAAATCTGGTTTTCCGTAAAACAGAACTAAGGTCATCTCTTCACTGTGTCACCATGTTTCATGTTTTTAGTAATTCTTTGATGTGCATAAACAAAACTTCAATAAACTACAAATTGAGAGATTTAGAAGTTCTGCAAGCCAAAAAAGTGCAGAGTCACAATAACCTTTTCAGTCCACATGTCTTTTGGACAGTGGAGCAGAAAAGGCAAAATTGGTGCTAAAAATGTGTCAGAATGCAGGGAATGTTTGTTGCAGGAATGTTTGGTGATAAAGACGTTCAGGTGGAGACCACCAGACCCCATCTCACCTGATGGAATTTTGAGATTCAGAACATGTTTATTAGTTATCTATGAGGCAGCTTGGAAGCAGACCTTGTTGTTTTAACCTGCTACCAGTCTTAATGCTAAGCTAATCTGTGTCTTGCCTTCATCATCCAACTCAAAAGAAAGCATGTATTTCAAAAAGAAGGTCATTACAGTAACATGTTCTACAAAATGGTATTACGTTTTATATTCTGCACCTACATTTTAATTTAACATTTGTTTCAGGTACTTTCTGTGTGTCCAGCTGAGAAAGGACATCATGAGCGGTGTTCTTCCCTGTTCTTTTGTCACACTGTCCCTGCTGGGTTCATACGCAGCCCAGTCGGAGCTCGGAGAGTACGACCCGGAGACACATGGGACAGACTACGTGAAAGATCTGAGCCTGGCTCCTGGACAGAGCAAAGAGCTAGAGGACAAAGTGATGGAGCTGCACCGCACATACAGGTAATCAACGTAGGAGGACTATGATTTGAGCAAAAGAGTAATGGCTTTATCAGTCTTCTTTTTCAAGTATTATTAAATGAGAAAAAACAGAATAGAGCAGACCCAAACTGTGAATTACCCCTGCATCTTTTACATTTATAGAACTGTTTACATAGACTATTTGTGGAGTCCTTTGAATAATCCTGGCAATAAAACATATCTTTGAAAAGACCCTTCTTATCTATGCTTTTCAAGGTCAATGAGTCCAGCTCAAGCAGACATGTTGTTTCTGGAAAATGCCAAGAAGCTCGCCATGTATGGAGTTGACCTGCATCAGGCCAAGGTTGGGTTTGTTTGAATTCTGTGACATAGTATCAACTTACTTTTTCTTTGAAATGTTATGACTTTGCAACACCATGCGTGTACCAGTTGCATCCATATTTTTAATTACAAAATTGATGTCAGCCCCTTTTCAGAAAAAAAGGAAATTAATGTATTTTTTTAAACTCCATGACCTTTAAGCCCTGTCCTCAGGATGTGAGGAAGTGTGCCTCCCAGTGACCGTTTATTGTAAATGCAGAGGGAGAAATATCATGACTGCTCACTCCTTTGTGCCTGCAGGATCTGGATGGTGTTGACATCACATTGGGAGTTTGCTCCGGTGGTCTGATGGTTTACAAGGACAAGCTGAGGATCAACCGTTTCCCCTGGCCCAAAGTGCTCAAGATCTCCTACAAACGTAGCAGCTTCTTTATCAAGATCAGACCATCGGAGGTAAATCTGACTTTACATAGTCCACTTTTATTTTTCATTATATTTAGATTTGATGGTTTTGTTACCTTTCCGCTCATCCAGTCCACCACCAATTTCTCCTAAATTCCACCTTGCTGGTCTGGTTTCTTGGCTAAGGAATGATATGACAATCTAACTTCTATTATTCACCTTTACATTAAAATTTAGATAATCTCATGGAGCTAATCCTCTGACTCATTTTGAGTCCTTTATACTTCATTTTACAAAAGACAACAAAATTATTAATGATAAATGATTATCCTTTTGATGAATTTAATGTAATTTCAAAATCTTTTCGAATTGTTGCTTCATGGGACTTTAAAGCCCATGAATATATTTTATTATTAAATATCCTATTAACATACCTTTAATAATCAGGTTGGTCAATTTCAGTCCACCTCATTCAAACATAGAAGTGATAAGTAACATTCAATAGTTTAACACATATAATAAATAAGACTTCTCATATTTGTATTTAATACTTCTATTATTTTTATTAAAACCAGGTGTGGGTTAGGATGCACTGCAGATTAATGTCATGAACTCAAGGTCATTATTTTTTTAAATTGAACTGTCACCGTTTGTGTGTTGTTTTTCCACCCACAGCTAGAGCAATATGAAAGCACAATCGGCTTCAAACTTCCCAACTACAAAGCATCGAAGAAGCTGTGGAAAGTTTGCGTTGAAAACCATACCTTCTTCCGGTAAGTCCCAAGTTGTTCTTCGCTTATTATGAATGACACTTTCTGCGTCGCAGCAGAGGTCATTCTCAGGTTCCTTTCTTACCCTGAGATAATTGGCTAACTGGTCTCTACAGCTTAAGCCCTATATTGGCTCGCTGGTAGTTTAACCAGAGAGGAAATGCTACGTGCCTGTGGTCGTGATCCTGAGAATTAAACCTCAAAGGCTCTTTATACCTAAGATGAAGGTCAGGGAGGGAAGGGAATTCTAACATTGTTGTATAACATGGACTACTTTTAAGGGATACCAAATCCTACGATGTCACTTGATTGAATCTGTTTTTGAGCATCTGGTTTGCTGGTCTGTCGCTTTAAAGATTAAACTTAGATCTTTTTTTTTGTCCCCCAGTGTTCCCACAGTAGAGCCTCCATCATCTCGTCGCTTCCTCGTCTTGGGATCTAAGTTCCGGTACAGCGGGCGCACTCAGGCCCAGACCCGCCAGGCCAGCTCCATGATCGACCGCCCCGCCCCTCGATTCACACGCTCTGCAAGCAAGAGGCTGTCCCGTAACCTAGATGGAAGTATGTGTAAGTGTGCGAACCCATGTGGGAATCATTGTATCACGTGTAATCTTGTTTTAATGAAGCACAGATTCAATACGCTTCTGTGATCTGTTTCACTCCAGCAGCTGGAGATGAAACTCTCCAGCTCCTGCAACAACTCTCAGCATCAGTCAGGACTGAAGTTGATGATTGGTCACTGATGACATCTGACCAACCCTGGCCTTCTTCTGTATTCCCAGGTATCAGGAACTGTGTGGAGCACCAGCGCTTCTTTGCCATATGTGCAGCCTTATCACATCATTTAACACGCTCGTCCGTTCTCGCTCATTTGCTTTCATGCCGGAAAAACAAGTCCTGAAAAATATCGTGTCAGCTGTGGCACATCTCCTCTTGACTTGTGGGTAATTTTACCCACTTTGTACTTTCCTTGGCGTTATCACAGGTTACCTTTGGTCTCTGTGAACAGAAGTTGTGCAAACTTCCCTCACATCTTTAACTACACATGGGCATTTCCAGTCTTGAGGCTGCAGTTCCACATTTTTTGGCAATTTTAAAGTTGCTGCTTGTTGTGTGTTGCATACCGGCTTTCATTTGCTTGCAGCTTGTAAACTTTGTGTTCAACATTACAACAAACTGACTCACCTATCACTGCTATAGTGCATTAAAACAGGATGGCATAGGAACAGTCTGTTTATGTCTTCTCAGTGCCAAAGCTTTTGTGATAACTGCAGCTTTTTGGACTCACAAC